TATATATATATATATAATATATATATATATATATATATATATATATATGAAAAAAATCTCGAGACAGACAGTTGAGTTCACTTTTACAATCGAGCAGACGATACATCCTCATCGCTTATCCTTCGCGACTAACCCACAACCAACGATATCTTCGCATATCCGACACCAGTGGACAACAAACCACGATATTCTTCTATTCACTAAATACATTTCCCGTAACGTATTCCCAACTCTACCACCTATCAACTAACCGACAGTTAAATTATTGTCCAAGGGAACGACAAGGAGTTTGCTAGTTGATCATATTACTTGCTTTTTGTATAACTCATTTATCATTGCTTACCAATTCATCGTGTTATATACATACATATTTTACACCCTTTTTCTTGTTATTAACTAGTAATATTGTGCAGGAACAATATTACCTCCCGAATAAATCTGTATTGCCGAGAAACGAATTCAACAGAAAATGTCCCAACAGCAGGTATGTGAAGGCTGAAACAAGTGTAAAGTTGATTTACTTCAGTGAGAGCATTAGATTTCAGGAATTGGAGAGACCAAGACGATTGACCGATTTAGTTTTGATTTAATGAGGAATTATTCAAAAAGTCTCTGTTTTGGTTCTCGAACAAGTGTAATTCGTATTTTTGACAGATTAAAACCGGTTCTTAAAATCTTAAAATCAGGCTTCTGTTTTCTGGGAAAGACTTAGCATATATTCTGCACTGTTTGTGTCCATTCATCCAATGTTGGCGAACACTTAATGCGAAGGGAATGGTAAAAAACGATGCTTAAAAATTCTTTCTTTTTTTTCGAAAGAAAAGTGCAACGAACTAACTACGGTAAACTTGTTCTTTCGCTTTCTCATCATCGGCCCTTTTTTTCTAATTATGCCTTTTGATGGTATCCAATATATTCGAATATCATGTCCCCAACGATTGAAATTTTAACCATGAAATTACAAGAATAAACAAGACTGCTTGTTGATAAAGATGGAGTCAGGAGGAAAATTCCTGTCTTACATGTTCCCTGATTAAAGTTCAACAAATTAGTGATTGTTGAAGAGGTTGAAATTTTCTGTTTGTTCCTTATCATTCAATTATCACTGAGATTGAAACGGATTTTTTCTTTTTTGTATCAATTTTATTTTTCTACAAACAGGCACTTTTACATTCAGTTCATTTCCCTTATCTTCTTTCCAATGACTCATTTTTTAACTTATTGATTAAAACCATTTATTAAATCAATTTTAATTGAAGAAAACGGCATTTTAGAGTGAAGAACATCATCGAATCATATCAGTAGAGCAGTAGAAAATGAAAAAAGAACCGATATGTATGCAATTCGCACATAGTTCCAAAGTTTTGTTCTGCTTTTAACACGCGCTATCCTACACTTTAGTTTTTTTGGTACGAAGTTTTAAGGAATTCTGAAGATGCAAATTTAGAATTATTTTATTTCAAGAAAACTGTTGCTTTTTAACTTCTCATTTATCACAACATTTTAATAATTCAAAAAGTGATTGATGTCAAAATTAGTCAATTACTACTATATTCATTTATTTTCTGTTTCTCCTTTCAATCCATGAATTATCGATCTGTATAGGTACTACAAATTATGACGGAGCCATGGATGACTTTAATGACGATAACTTGTGCTGCATAGACTTTTGATATATTTTTAACATTGATTCAAATCAGAATCTATTTAATAACTTGATATGGAAGAGAACGCCAAGCAAAGCTTTGCATAATTCTTAAAATTTAAAATCTGCACAATGATTACAAAAGTGCATTTGGAGAAAATGAAACAATTACCCAGAAAAAAAGCGACGTGGAAAAAAGCGACGTGGATAATGAAAACCAAATGGAGAAAAAAACGGGAAGCCTCTACCACTCCCTCGAAAGAAACCAAAAAAAGTTCCAAGTCCTTGTAGCCCGGGGCGCAAAGCAGCTTGAGTAGGTCGATTACGTTGATTTCTTCTTTGATCACCTCCACGAATTGCGTTAGCATTGTTGTTCAGTGACTTAAATTTAAAATAAACTTTTGCTGGGAAAGTTGGTGTTTAAATGAATACTACAGTTGTGGCACTTTAAGGTATGGAACTAATACAAGATATGGAACTTACGCTGCGGCCTGCGAAATTGCGATTGAACGATCCACTGGTTCGAACAGACGCTTGTGCATTCGTTTCAGCAACTGATAATATTGTACTGGAAGTGGAAGAAGTCATTAGCAGGTATGTAAATAAAATAAATGTTGTGATAACAGCGAACATTTTAACTTACATTATCGTTACAGTAATCAAACATTTGGTGATAACGAGTGACACCATAATAAGCAATCCAAAGGTCCTGCAAATATGATTGGCAATTGACTATTGGTATTACAATAAGGCTCGTCTTCACTGCGTTCTGGTTGATAGAAATATTTATTGATATCGAGAATTGCTCAATCTGCTCAATTGATGGTCCTAAGGCCATAATTGAATTTGAAGCTCTTGTTCTTGCCAGGATCACAAATGACCGCAAGTTATCAGATTAGTTGTTAAACAGAAAAGATATTTAGCTTCTAAAAAATGATATTTATTATAGGCGAAGTCGAAGAAATGTTACGAGTTGTATCAATTATAATTCAGAATATTTTTAAGGTAAATGATTTGTTATGGAAAATTAATAAAATCAATATTTCGATATCTAAAGTAATGAGTCATGTATTCAAATCCAACTTTTCCAATTTTTTAACCACTTTTAGTTGCATTGCTTGGATATTGCGAACAAAACTTTATGTTTTAAACACTTTTGCAATCTGTTAATCAAGCTTACATGCAATTGTCGAAATGTTGTAAAAAACTTTTGTGCAAATATCAAAATTTTCTAAAGAACTTCTAATCTAGCAATTAAGTTAATGTATCTGGAATATTAAACTACTCCCATTATAAAAGGAGCTAGGATCAATCATTCGGACGATTAGTTACCAAATCCAAAAAGCTCGTACAGTTATTCAATCCGACGATTCCCGCAGTCACTCAATTCAGTAACTCCCGCAGTTTCGCAATCTGACAACTCGTTGAGTTACTCAATTGGACAACTCGCGCAATCACTCAAGGAGACAGCACAATCAGGCCCTCAACCACGACAATGATTCAATGACAGAGAAGCGACAATACGACAGTTCTACAGCACGAGCGACAAGATTATTTCATATT